ATGGAAATCTGCATAGCACAAGAGAAAACACGTAACCTTAGACTTTACCATTCACCCGTGCCAAGTACCTCCGGTCCATTCATCCCGGCATGAGTTCATGTGACCCGAAACATCCGCGAAGGGCACAGGATTCAAGTTCACTCACTCAGTAAACTCAATACGCAAATAACTCACCGTTTCTTGTTGAAGACGCTTCTTCACGAGCTTCGAACAACAAACATTGACAGCACCAACGATGTGCAGATCGTTGAACTCCAAAAAGGACCGGCTATCCACTACCAACACCTGCAATTCGAAATGGACAAGCTGTCGGTTCAAATCCGATTAATTTCACTGTCTTTTACAACCTCAATTCACCCACGAGCTTCCCGTGCGTCCAACCGTTATCGAACTACCTTTCATCAAACTCCTAAACCAACACGAAGTATTTTTAACCTTCGGTAATCATGAACCATCGGAACAAAAGGAGCGCCTCATACCGTTTTAAGAATCACCGATATCTTTACAACTGTACTCCAATAACGCATCCCTCGAAGAACGTACAATTCTCTAGAGATCATCTATACATCATAAGTTCGCCCTAACTCTCAAAATCAAGCGTCAAGCTTTCTCGAACAGTTTCGTTGAAATTTAACGAACGAAACTCGAAGCGCATCACAGTGCTCGTAGATCTAATTCAGAGCCGTTCCTATCTTCACGACCAATTAATGAAGGAGTTACAATGAACACAAACCTGAGCGACAGAAGACCGGGCAATGGCGGCCACTTGCTCAGGACTAACAGTCCGCACGGCATCCAAACTCATCATCGGAGCTTACACAGCACAAGGTTGCCACGAGGCACACGATATTCGCCACAATGCATCCCCCGTCATCACGCCGCGAAACAGAACGCGTTGCCGAGCCATGTGGAGTCTACGGCATCCAAACTCATCATCGGAGCTTACACAGCACAAGGTTGCCACGAGGCACACGATATTCGCCACAATGCATCCCCCGTCATCACGCCGCGAAACAGAACGCGTTGCCGAGCCATGTGGAGTCACGCACTCAAGGCGTGCTATGTTTATTCACAATGCGGTTGTCATCGTCACGGCGTCGGCACCCGAGCCATCGCGAATCAGCAAACGTACCGCAGAATCCACAACATACTCGGGGTACCTCTTCTGGAACGTAAACACCAGGGTTTTGCGAGATGAGCCTCATGAATATTCAACATATCACCGTACGTAAACGCGACATTATGACGAAGCCCAACACACACAGAGGAAAACACTAGGCCACGAACGAGACGCACCACCGATTTCCTACAAATTACTAAGCGTTCCTCAAGAAACAATAAGAGATTGTCAGAAATAAATGTCCTCGCCTCCTTGCCACAATGTAAAATGGTCGTATTGATTTCACAACATATAAGAGTCACACAGTAGAATAGGAAGAAGTGCTCAGCTCCAGATCTAGGAGCAGAATGCCTCTGGGAGCTCCCCGCTGGTTCCACCTCTCCTCTGGTCTTCCTATCAAGAAGTCCGGGTGATGCAGACGGGTCGGTTGGACGACACGAGGTTCCCCCATGCTTGGCTAGATGTCGCTGTAAGGGAGAGCCTTACTAAACCGATATGATCTACCCGCCCATGAAAGATGTCCAGGTTGCACAGAGATCGTGAGCATTTTCCAAGAGCCGTGCCACTGCTGGCAAAATCAATGGAAATTAACGTTATGAATTAACATCCGCCAAGAACATGGGCAAGGTTGCGCCATCATCATACTGTATTTGGGCAATTACAGGAAATACTTGACAAGCGGTCCCTCAACCCTGTTCCACAGTTCATGAGATTTTCTATAAAAATTATCCCACTTTCTTGTTAGCTGCAAGTGGAATGACTGCATATGGATTAAGAATTTCCTCCTACCTGCGTCGATACAGCTTCCGTATTGTTCAGAAAACAAATACAATCCGCTTAACCCGAACATGCTTCACCAAATTCGGGCTTAACCCTTATCAGAATTCTTTCACACAGTCGGAGTGGCGACATTTTGATGTAAGCAGTCCCTGAAATTCTCCGGGAGAGCACGATTTTTTTTTTCCACTGCACTACACAATAAGGTTTATATAACGGAACGTTGAAGAACTGAAGACGTGACGTGGAGCCCTTACTACACAATGATGGAGCTACAGTAAAATCTTGTTACAACAAACTTTTGGGGACCAAAGAAAAAGTTTGTTGTAATGGATAGTTTGTTGTAACAAGATTATGAAAATAAATAAGTGGAAAAAATTTTTTCAGCTCAGATCTGCATATATTCAGAATCAGGCTCGTCTTCCAGTTTAAGAACTCAAGTTATTGTTTGAATTTATCAGTGATTTTCTTCTTAACCAAACTCTTGTCCACTGCTGCTGGCATGTATGATGCCCAGGTCCAGAGGCTGAAGAATTGCAGTGCAGTTTGGTGGCAGATACTCCACTTGCACATCATATAGGCATAGAAGAATAGTGTGGACAGAGCATTTGTCCCAAATGAGCCAATTTTTTTTGTCAATTTTCATGTACTTGTTGACCTGTTTCATCCATTCAACAAAAATTGCAGTGGTCATCCAGGCATGCTTTTACATGCTTGAAACAAGGGGGTTTTGCTGATTTTTTTTAATAAGTGGCCTCAACTTCTCTGTCTCTGAAGCATTGCAACAGAAGAGGGCTGTCAGTCTCTGTTTTGATTTTTTGCCACCATGACAAGGATAATTTCTAACAGCCAATGGGAAATTTGGTAACAACTTTAAAGAATTGCCCTTCTCATCTGAATTTGAAAATGTTGGCATGGCTGTAGGATGCAATAATTTGTTCAACTTCACTGATCTGCCACTCATTCACTTTTGTGGTGAGAACTGCACATTCTTCCCCACAGATCACTTCAGCTGAAATTCAAAATCAATCACAGAAACAATTGAGCCACCCAACATTGGGTAGAAATGATTTGAGGTCAAATGAAACTGCCAGGCTTTCTCCTGAATCAAGGGTCCATTTATTAGAATGTTGCTAGATGACACTTCTTGAAACCATGCAAACATAGCCTTGTTCAGGTTTTCTTGAGCAGTAGTCTGCATTTACTTTCAATGAGGTCCCATATTGAAGTCACACAATATAATTTTTTATTTTTGACCAATTTTTAAAAATTGTTGACTAAGTTGCTGGCATAATTCCAATTTTACTTGAACTTATTTTTTTGTGCTGCCATCAAGTGCAGCAAAAATGCTTAGCTTCTTATCAAAAGTTCCATGATCCATCATTTGCCATGACCATTCTGTGGACTGCCAAAAAAGCCATGTCATTTTTAAAAACAATATGGAAGACATTTTTGCCATGACTGCAGGGTGACACCATGAATCCAAGCTAATTGATTGCATATTTGTGCTGAAATTCTGCCTTTTCATATTTGTTAATTTTCTAGAAGACAAATTGACACATTTTTGCACAATAAAGAGGCAATAAGGCAAACATTTTGTTTGAGAAATTTGAATGACTTTTGTAACCCTGTACATAAAATGGACATGCATTGCTGTGCAGAGACACAGGAGAATAAAAAAAAACAATGAAAAAATGCACTGAAGTGGGAAACACAAGCAATTTAAAATGAAAAATAATCTGTGTGTCCAACTTTTTAATCTTTAATTTTACCAGCAATTATTGTCATACAATTCTAAGCATCATACAGTATCCAGAACTAACAAGTAAAATAAATCTTGCTGCGTTCACAAATGTGTGTTGAACAGTCACTGTCCCAAGTTGTATTGGAACCTCTTTTGCAATGCCTGGGACATTGATATTTTAAAATCATTTCGCAATTTTTGGAGTGCATCCTTATTTTTATTCTTCAGAACATGCTGTAGAATTGCTCCTGGGTTGGATATTTGAATGGATTCTTTAGATTTCTTGATTCATGGTTTGATCCCATAAATTTTAAAAATGTAGCCCAGGGAAGTCATCCCTGTTGGGACAGTTATTCTATTGAAGTTTTTGTTGGTGACTGTCCTTCCTGTAAGTTCATGGGAAACAGCATGTTTGGATTAATGTTCAGGGGTCCCAAAAATTCTACATTGCAATTTTGGCTGAGTTCCATAGAAGTGGTTTCATGGAAGGGTGGAAAAACTCACTCTCCTGGGTGGATCCCATAGAGATTTTGAATGATTTGGGTCCTCCATTGAGGCCTCCTTTAATTCAGGCTTCAATGGTAAAAACACAAACAAATTTCAAGTAATTTTTCTTAATTTTTCCACAAAAAGGAAAAAATTTGGTGTCAAAAAAGTTTGTTATAACGGAATTCCCAAGTTTGTTGTAACAAGATTTTTTTAACATGTAGTCTATAGGCTTTCTGCCGGGACTTGGAAAAAACTTTGTTATACTGAAAAATTTGTTGTAACGGTATTTGTTGTAACGAGATTTTACTGTATTACCATTGCAATCACTTACAGATATAAACGAAGCTAACCCTACTTTGTACTTGCCTAACTTTTTCAAGAGCTAGTCCTTCACGCATTATAGTGTACAGCACTTTTCAATCGTTACGATCACGGTTTCGTGAAACTTTTGGCATAATCATCACTATAGATGATTCAAGTCTACCGAATGAAATCGTATCACTTGCACCCAAAGGGTTCACTTCGAACTTTGCCAAAACGTGAGCTGCTTCGTTCCACAAACAGATCAAACAACCTCCAAATTCAGTAACCGCGACGATCAACATGAAAAATGAAATTCCAAACCGATCTCATGAATTTTCCTCATCTGAATTACATCGACTATTCTTCGAACCCTAGAAGGGCTCATACGTTCGGAAATAATGAAACACTGTCTTAATTCAGACTAGATAACTTGCTTTGTCACCGAGTATACCCAGGAAAATCATTCTATCAGCACTCTTGAAGTTGAACGGGACTAAATGTTGTGCCATTTTCAACTTTTGTCATTATTTTCTGATGTGCACAGTAACATCCCAGCAAACAATGAGGGCGTGGGAGCCAAAGGCATGATGATCATGGTGTGTTCTCCCTAGTGACACACACCATGATCATCACGCCTCCCACAGTTCCTCACGCTCAACTTTCTGGCCGCGAGGAACTACAAACAGACAGACAGACAGACAAGAAAAGTGAGTTCATAAAAACGTGGTAAAAACGTGGTAAAATGAAATTCCAAACCGATCTCATGAATTTTCTTCATCTGAATTACATCGACTATTCTTCGAACCCTAGAAGGGCTCATACGTTCGGAAATAATGAAACACTGTCTTAATTCAGACTAGATAACTTGCTTCATCACCAAGTATACCCAGGAAAATCATTCTATCAGCACTCTCAAAGTTGAACGGGACTAAATGTTGTGCCATTTTCAACTTTTGTCATTATTTTCTGATGTGCACAGTAACATGTGAGGAAGTGAACCGGCGGGAACCTTCTCCGTGTAATGATTGCAGGTTCTATACTGTAAACAACATTCAATTGAGATACAAAAAGCCCCTCACACAAAAGCTACCAATAGCATACAAACACCTTCACAAACAATCAGCACCACTTTTGGCACAAAACGCACGCGTACAACAAAATAAACCCCATCGCTATAAAACCATTTACAGATTGGAAGATAATATGCTTAATCACTCGTGGAAAACCAAAAGAGCCGTCGAAAATAAGACCAGATTTTGACGTTCCATATCAGCCAGACATCGATCAATTTCAACATTTCATCCAAGAACCTGTACACGTGATTTTCACCCAATATATCAACAGTACGTGTAAATGAATACCCAGAAGAACAAAGCTCATATACACTGGAAATGGAAAACAAACTCTCCACGCCCAGAATGAACTTCGCCACCAGCAGATGCTTCACTGATAATACTGTATACAACACAACTTCACATGTGTGAATGACGATTCAAGTCAAGAGTTCCACAAAAATTTCACGTCGTCCATCACTGACACACTTGCGAAGGAATCTGTGGGTGCCATCATCACCACCACCACCACCACCACCAGGAACACAAACTCACCTCACTCGCGCATCACAGACAAATGGATCACTTGTGGTTGGTTTTAAAAGAAATTCCACAAGACTATTTTCCGAATTTAAAGAAAACCAAAGTGGAAGAGCGATACAGGCACAGTGAATAAAAATAAAGTTCTCCCACTTGG